GCAAGCTCCGCCTCCCGGGTTCACACCATTCTCCTGCCTCAGCCTCCCAAGTAGCTGGGACTACAGGCGCCCGCCACCACATCCTAATAATTTTTTGTATTTTTAGTAGAGATGAGGTTTCACCGTGTTAGCCAGGATGGTCTCGATCTCCTGACCTCGTGATCCACCCGCCTCGGCCTCCCAAAGTGCTGGGATTACCGGCATGAGCCATCGCGCCCAGCCACACGCGGTAACTTCTTTAAGGACAGTTACACAGAGCGTGTCTGAGATCTAACTTGCAGGCACCATGGAAGAGCGTACAATTCTTATCTGTCTGTATCATTTTACAAGTGGTATTTCTTCAAACTCAGAGTTTGCTGATACCTGTCAGCTTAGAAGGTTCAAGTGAGGAAAGTCAGAAGAGGAATGGAAAGACCTGAATCCTCATAAACACGCACTGGCAGCAGGTGCTTCGTTTGTAACATTACAGTCGCTTCTTTACCCCCGAAGTCTGGGCACTGAACCTCAAAATGTCTTGAAGTTCCATTAAGTTTTTCTTAAATCATTTTTTCCCTTTTTTAGTTCTATGTAACAACTGTACTAATTTATGGGACACAGTGACATTTTGATGCACATATACAACGTGTAATAAATCAGGACCATCACCTCATTTATTTTTGAACATTCAAAACCCGTCCTCTAGCTTTCTGAAAATACACACTAAATTATCGTTAGCCACATTCACCCTCCAGTGCTACAAAACACTGGGACTTACTCCTCCAATCTAGCAGTGACTCTATCCAGTAACGGACCTGTCCCTGTTTGTTCTCCCCTCTCTCTCCCTCTAAGCCTTTAACAACTCTGCTTCGGTAAGCTGTTTTTGTAGCTCCCACATGAGTGTGAACATGAGGTATTTCCCTTTCTGTGCCTGACTTTCCATTAAGTGAGTCCTAATTTTCAACTCTTTTGACATTATAGAAAAAACAAAAACAGCGACAAAAAGATACCTGCAAGTATTTAGACAAAAAGTAACCCAAAGGCAGTTGCGAAATGGGCCACACCTGCAGGCAATGTTCAGTCTCCAACACTGCGCGTGCCACCCATGGAGGCATGCACTGGCTCTCGATCACCAAGATGAACACCTTCACCAGCATGCTTTCCAGAGATGGCACTGGGAACTTCAAACTCATCCCACTCAAAGACGCAGTGCCCACTGATGTTTTCCCAAACTTCATAAAATAACCATTATGTTCTAATTTCCTCAAGCAGCCATGTACCCTGTGGGTCAAAATTTAAATGTCCAGGGCAGATATAAGGCAATGCCCCACACTGGCAGACACTCAAGACTCAGGAAGCAAAGACACAAACAACACTGGAAGCATCACACTCAGATCATAAAGCCGCCATCTCAAATTTTCCACTCTACTTGAAGGAATATATTTCAACTATCCCCAAATTTAGAACAAAGGGATTCAGAGTTAATCCAACTTTGGAATTTAATATTTGACCAAAATGAGCTGGGCACAGTGGCGCACACCTGCAGTCCCAGTTACTTGGGAGGACCACTTGAGGCTAAGAGACTGAGACAGCAGTGCACTGACTGTGCCTATGAAAAGCCACTGACCTCTAGGCTGGGTATCATAGCAAGACCATGTCCCTTAAAAAGGAAAGGGATTCTCTCAGAAATGGCAGACTCCAACACCAGACATCAAAACATAATTGTTAGCTGGGCGCGGTGGCTCACGCCTGTAATCCCAGCACTTTGGGAGGCTGAGGCGGACGGGATCATGAGGTCAGGAGATCGAGACTATCTTGGCTAACATGGTGAAACCTCGTCTCTACTAAAAATACAAAAAATTAGCCGGGCATGGTGGCGGGTACCTGTAGTCCCAGATACTTGAGAGGCTGAGGCAGGAGAATGGCGTGAACCCGGAAGGCGGAGCTTGCAGCGAGCTGAGAACATGCCGCTGCACTCCAGCCTGGGCAACAGAGCAAGACTCCGTTAAAAAAAAAAAAAATTTGTTAAAAAATCAAAATAGAACATGCTACCGTTACCTGCTATGAGGTTACAAACAGTACAAATAACATTTCCTCATTCTCTGCATATTAAATGAGTACTCTATCAACCCCTGCATATCTTTTTAAAGCTTTTAAAACAAAAAGCAACAAGACACCTCTTGGCTGAAATGCTGAAGCACTGACACTAATACAGAGGTGCTGGGAGAATGAGAAGGGACACCCCATTAAAATGTGGCCAAATGCCTCACTGTGCTCTCAAAACCCAAGGCAGCGCTATCCATGGCCAGTGACCCCAATGCCATAACCAGGTGGCCACATGCACAGAAGGGGACACCAAAACTCACTCAAGTCACCTAACTCTTGCTCCCAAACCCTGTTATCACTGCACCCCCAATCCCACGTGAAGATGCTCCAACCCTGCAGCATGAGCATCACCCTGGGGCCCATGAGACAGGCAGCCCCACAGAACCAGAATCTGCACTGCCATGGCCACTCCCCATGCCCCCCGAAGTCTGAGAAGAACTAACCTAAGAGCTAGTCTTTCCACCTGCTCCCTACCATGGGGATTTTCAACTCTCAGCATGCATATCAGAGTTCCTAAAACCACCTCAAAACTCTCAGTGCCGTGGTGACAGATGAGGCATTCAGTTTTTGCTATTTAGTTTTTAAAGCTGCTCAGGTGATTGTAATACACAGTCAGGGTGAGACTGCGGCTCTGGTACACATTACTTAATTTTTCCAATGAAATTCTGGTGCATGGCATTCTTTTAAAAGTATGGTCTAGTCTTCGTAAATTCCACCTTTTCATATAAAAAGGAAGCTCAGATCAGGAAAAACCAAGGCTGTTCTATTTTAGATGCTTTCTGCTCTGGAAGGAGAATAAGAAATACATCATTCTTTCCATCTTGAATTCTCAAGTTTTGGCTTAGGACACAGGATAAGCATGAAACAAGGGAGGTAGCAGAGGCAGCAATGTGATACATTTGTGAAAACCATTAAAAGTAGCTGTAAAATCCCGTGCAAATTACAATACAGCAGTTTGTAAAGGACAACAGACAGTGGCTATGCTCTGTGATGGGAGAAGCACTCTGCCCACACAAGCAGAGCCTGGAGCTGTCCTGAGCAAGTGTGAATGTAGATGTACTGTTTCTGGGGACTCTGGAGCAATAAAAACTGACAGCAAGTCAGTCAGTGAGACTTAAGGCAAGATTTGTTTCTGTGTTGTAGAAACTTCTATTATAACTAATTTCAGGGAAAATCAAATTTGTCACCTTTTAATTTGTTCACCATTTCACTGTAGAAAGTAAAATGTCAAGGCAAGACAAAATCAGAAATGTTGGTTTTGCTTTTTTTTTTTTTGAGACAGGGTCTCACTCTGTCACCCACCAGGATGAAGTGTAGCGCCATGATCATGGCTTACCACAGCCTCGACCTCCTGGGCTCAGGTGATCCTCCTGCCTCAGCCTCCCAAGTACCTGGGACCACAGGTGCACAACACAATGCCCGGCTAACTTCTGTATTTTTTGTAGAGATGGGATTTTGCCATGCTGCCCACGCTGGTCTTAAACAGTCTGCCTACCTCAGCCTCCCAAAGTGCTGGGGCTACAGACATGAGCTACCATGCCTGGCCTTCTTTTTTTAAAATAGACACTTTTCAAGAGAAATGATCAGAAAATATTAGCAACTTGTTCAAAAATTCACTGGGATGTGTGTGTGTATACACACACACAGAACTTATCCCTTCAAAATTCATTCTCCTACTCTGGTCTCCCACCCTCACCCTTTCCTGCGCACTCACACCACAGTAAGACACAGATGCGCTCTTGAATCTATTCACAGGCGAGACAACAGACATTTACAGGAGGTAAAAGGAATTGATTTGAAAGTTTTGGATCAGGCTGAGCTGCCTGGCTTTCCACCAAGAACTGCAAAAGACAGCATGGAAGCCCCACTGTGAATAAACCATTCACTGTGAGATCAGGACTGCTCACCTTAGGTCCTGGTCACAGAAAGTGCCCTTCCGCCCACTATGAACAACCTTTCAACGCCCAGTTTAGTGCTTAAAAAAATGCCATAGATAAGTAATGTTAGAAGACTACCACATAATCTCTCTAAAAGATAGAAATGTGCTTACCTGGACTAATTCACTTAGCATATCTACATTTCTAAAGATGGTAAACCAGAACTCTGGAATTCCTTTGGGATTTGGCTCTTCAGCTGTTGCTGCTTCTTTTTCAGTTATGACTACTTTATTTTTCATGTCTCCCTAAAAAAAATAAAGATGCAAAAAGATCGCAAAAAATACAAATTTAAAAATAACGCAGTGGCTTAATGTAGAGTACCATTTCCAAATCCTGTATTATCTCCGATCAAAAACCTTTCTTTCAGAGTCTGCATCTCCAAACCATTCACTGTGCCATGCAACACTTCTCAGATGCTTCCGAGGGAAAAAAGCGGTCAAGGCGTTATATCCACATGGAATTCCTTATGATTTCACATCAAAGGCGAAGAAACTGAAGAGATGACAAAGTGCCACCAACTCTGGGAAAGGTCATCCAGTGCTAACTCTGTGAGGTGCCATCCTGAGACAATCATCATCACAAATGCAGATGCAAAGACTGTACGTCAACCTTAAGGAAATGGAATGCAAATATGCAGAACATCTATCACTGGGAAAAAAAAGTCCAGTCCAAGGATCAGTAAGTTCACTTGGACTAATAATCTCACCTCTGGTTAAAATTTGTGGGGTAGGGGCAGTAAGTTGAAGTAAAAAAAAAAAAAAAAAAAAAAAAATTTGCTGCAGCAGTATCTGCAGCAAGAAAGTGCTCAGCAACTTATCCAGCTTTAAGCAGGTGGCTATAAATGCTGGTTCATGGACATAACGCAAGCATCAGAAAGTGATCAGAAAGGGTACGTGGTAAAGTGAAGGGGAGTCTTATAACATCAGGCCCCAGGGAAAAGGTAGACCAAGGGAGGTAAAACATAACACTAAATGGAACTATGGGAAATTCTGAATGCCTTGCCAAATGGGATTGTTATGATGAAATGATCTCGTAGGCCTTTTAAATTAGCGAAGGCAGATTTCCTTGAGCTGTTAGAAGCTGATTCACAACTGTATCGATCCACAGCCATGGCTTCAATTCGGCCAGGTTCTACATATTTTAAAAAGATCAAAAACACATAAGGCTACCAAAATTATCATATGCCTTAAAAAAAAAAAAACACCCATGCCAAAAGTTAGTGATAGGATAAAAGTTACTTGTCTCCCAAACATAAAATCAGGCTGACACTGGGAGTTTTCACAGCACTGGAATGGGACCAGTCACTAGAAAAAGGCTGTGAGCAGGTAACTGACGGCCATACCATAACCACCATACGCAACCAATCCACTGGCTGAGCACCTGTCAGGGAGCACGCTAGTCCACGCCACTGAGCAAGAAGGCACTCCCCTCACAACTCCCCCAATATTCCAGTGACTGAGAACACAGGGGTATCTCTTCTTGATCTTCGCTTTCTCTGATGTTTTAATCTTTATTGTCTGATCCTTTATTTCAATATGCTCCTGTCCACAGATAACTGACATGGCACTACATCTTACTCCTCCTATGAACTGACAGTACTGTGCCAGATGCTAGATCAGTATCAGAAAGGAATCTAAACCCAACCTAATGATGCAGCAGCACCTACTGCTAGAAGCACGTAAGTTTACTAGTCATTAAAAATCATTAAAAAATGCTTATTTTTAATAGTATTAAAACAGAACATAAGTCACATTTTTCAAAAGACTTACAGCCAATTTCTCTTCCTCTTCATTTTCACTGTGCCATTCCGATTCCGCATCTGTTGGTTCAACATCACCGGTGATAAATTCTCTTCTCTACATAAAAATGAGACCTTATTAGAATTATGTTATTAGCTTACTTGGAAACTCAAGAGTTAAATTTATAAATAATGTCTACAAAAAGACTTTGAAAACTGGGTATTTTTATAACTTATTTTAAGATTCTAAATTTTAGGGTTCAAAGAAAAATATTAAATGATTTCCTGGGTAAATCTGGATGTTTCACCTAAAGATCTAAAATAAAGGCGGTCCCTGATTTCCAATGGTTCAACTAAAGATTTTCAACTTCATGATGGTGCAGAAGCCATCACACTTTGAGTACCAATACAGCCACACTCTGTCCCACTCTCTGTGTAGTGTTCAATACATTACATGAGATACTCAGCACTTTATTATAAAATAGGCTTTGTGGAAGATGATTTTGCCTGACTGCAGGCTCATGTAAGTGTTCTGAGCTTATTTAAGGTAGTCTAGACTAAGCTATGTTTGGTAGCTTAGATGCGTTCTTACCCTAGATGTTGTCAACTTATAATGAGTTTATCACAACCTAACACCGTCGTAAGTTGAAGATTATCTGTGTATTAAATTCGTTAAGAGCGTTCCCTACCTTGTCAAAAAGAGGCTGGTATAGTGCTGCATACTTTCTTTCCAAGTCATGTACCTCTTCATAGAACTTGGCTTCTATGTGAGCACATCTCACCTGAAGTTGTTTCAATGCATTAATTCTTCTTTTTACTGCTTTAGGTAAACTAAAAAAAAAGGAGTAAGAAATACAACATCCTCATGCCTGCAAAATAAGGCACCATGCTTTTCAATTTTATTAAAATAAATTTAGGTTAACATGGAATTAACATAATGAACAAGACCTCTTAAAAATTAGGAAAAGGACAAATACTCCAATAGGAAAAAAAGGATACAGGAGGCAGAAAAGATAATTCACAAAAGAAAAAACACAAATTGTCAAACATGAAGAAAGATTCAATCTCATAAAATATCCAAAAGAATGCAAACATTTAAGAATGCTCATCTTTTCCTTACCAAATTGGCAATTAAAAACCAAAACAAAACACCTAGGTTTTACGAGGCTAAGGGTCAAGAAGCCCTCTAACTGACTCATCTTTCTTAAGGGCAGAAATACTGAAAGTGTTCTTTGGACCCAGTAATTCCACTTCTAAGAATTTATCCTTAAGGCTGGGCGCAGTGGCTCATGCCTGTAATCCCACCACTTTGGGAGGCCAAGGTGGGAGGACGGCTTGAGGGCATGACTACAAGACCAGCCTGAGCAATATAGCAAGACCCCTCACTACAAAAAATTTAAAAAATTAGCCAAGTGTGCCCCTGTAGTCCCAGCTACTCAGGAAGCTGAAGTGGGAGGATCACTTGAGTCTGGGAGGTCAAGGCAGCAGGGAGCTATGATTGTGCTACCGCACTCCAGCTTGGGAAACAGAGCAAGACCCTATCTTACCAAAAGGAAAAAAAAATTTATCCTAATCAAGTATTTATGCTGGATTGTCCATCGATAGATCTGTACAAGTGAAAAACTGGACAATGGAAGTTCAACGGTATTCAAATATGGCCTATTTATAATCACATTGTACAGGAATATTTAGTGCCACGTGGGAGTCCATACTTGTTAACACACTGGAGGAAAAATCTGAGAAACACAGACCACAGGCAACACAACTTTGTCCTTGAGAGTCAGGTCAACTATGAGTTTGCTCAATCCTGTTCTATGTTTTAAAAAATATTTTAGTTTGTATGTATAACTTCTATAAATCAGAAGAAAAATCCCTGTTTTTAACCTATCAAAACTATTTGCTTAAAGCAAAGCCCCTGGTCATAATCATGTGGACTGAACAGCAGATTCCCGGCCTCATCATAGACCCAAATAATCTACCTGGGGCAGGGCCCTGGGTCCTGAATCTTAGATACCCATTCACACGATCAGAGTTCTCAAGTCTAAGCACTTGACTTATCCTCCAACACCACACAGCACAGAGCAGCAGGCAATTCACACACACATATCACTGGTCTGGGAGGTATTAGAACAACTGCCTTGCATCCCAAAGGACCACTCTCCTGGGTGAAATATAATCACAGTTACCTCAAGCTAAAGGTCCTTAGTTTAGACTCTCAAATAATGCTTAACATTCTAGAACTACTGCTAGTAGTAGATGAGAACAAGGGAAAAGCAAAAAGAATTTAACAAAATCATAGACTCCCACTGCCACTTGTACCTCTCTTCAGCACTGATCATTCATTCATTCATTCATTCATTTACTGTGATACGATCTCACTCTGTTGCCCAGGCTGCAGTGCAGTGGTGCCATCTCGGCTCACTACAACCTCAACTTTCTGGGCTCAAATGATCCTCCCACCTCAGCATTCCGAGCAGCTGGACTACAGGGGCACATAGCCATGCCCAGCTAGTTTTTTGCATCCTGTAGAGATGGGGTTTGACCATGTTGCCCAGGCTGGTCTTGAACTTCTGGGCTCAAACGATCTGCCTGCCTTGGCCTCCCAAAGTGCTAGGATTACAGGTGTGAGCTACCACGCCTGGCTAATTATACAATTTTAAATTAATTTTTGAAGCTTTCCAACTGAAGTAAAATGACAAAGGATGTTAAACAAACTGGACCCTAGTGTGCCCCTAGCAGTCCTTCAATCATTCATACCAACTACACCCAGCCATCTGCGGGCACTTTTCCTGCAATATGGCCAATATGGAACCACTTCTAGTCTCACATAAACTTGTTCCCACTCAAGCAGTTCCTCTCACAGAATGCCACCCCACCAACCCAGTTTCTAAAGCGAGAAAACTAGAAACCATTACTCATTCTCAATTCTTGCCACTCCTACACAGTATCACTCCATCCCATCAATGTAGTCTGCAAAAAAAAAAATCAAAAAACCTGGCCCACTGAGTAATCCCCAAGAAGCTTGTAAATGGACAAAGCAAACTCTAAATGTCCCCTTCTAGGCTGGGCGCTGTGGCTCATGCCTGTAATCCCAGCACTTTGGGGGGCCAAGGTGGACAGATCACCTGAAGTCAGGAGTTAGAGATCAGCCCGGCCAACATGGCGAAACCCTGTCTCTACTAAAAATACAAAAAAACACGCGCAGCAAATCTCCATGGCACATGTATACCTATGTAACAAACCTGCACGTTCAGCATATCTACCCCAGAACAATAAAAATACAAAAAATTAGCTAGGCGTGGTGGCGTGCACCTGTAATTCCAGCTACTCGGGAGACTGAGGCAGGAGAATCACTTGAAACTGGAAGGCGGAAGTTGTTGAGATCCCAAGTTACCACACTCCAGCCTGGGTGACAGAGCGAGACTCTGTCTCAAAAAATAAAAATAAAAAATAAAGGTCCCCTTCTTGTCATAATAGCGGGGAAACCAGTTGGAAGGTGGGGCCTCCTGGGAGACCAAGCCTTGACTCGATTACAGATGGAAGCCCAGTAACAGCTCATCCCTTTCAAAAAAAAAAAAAAAAAAATTTAAAAAAAATGGTATGGTGATACATGCTTATAGTTCCAGCTACTCTGAAGGCTGAGGTAGAAGGATTACTTGAACTCAGAAGTTCAAGGTTACAATGAGCTATTACATGCCACTGCACTTCAGCCTGGGCAACAAAGTGAGACTCCAACTCAAAAACCAAAAATTCCTTCCAGAAGTAAGACAGGGAGGTCCTGACAAGAGCCATCCTAGGATTTTAGGATCACCATCCTTATCATTTTCATAGTGCAATACATCTAGGACATAAGACTCTCATAAGAAAGGAAAGGTGTCAGGCCAGGCGCGGTGGCTCAAGCCTGTAATCCCAGCACTTTGGGAGGCCGAGACGGGCGGATCACGAGGTCAGGAGATCGAGACCATCATGGCTAACCCGGTGAAACCCCGTCTCTACTAAAAAATACAAAAAACTAGCCGGGCGAGGTGGTGGGCGCCTGAACTTTCCAAGGCACCTGATAAATGAGTTGGAGCAGTATTTTCTAGGTTCTGACTCCAAAATCACAGAGCCCCACCAGGAGTAATCTGCTTCTTTATATAGTTTAAAGCTATACACCAATCTATAAATCTCAGAAAATGAAAAAAAAAAAAAAAAAAAAAAGGAAAGGTGTCAACCAGGTGCAATGGCTCACTCGTTATCCCAGCATTTTGGGAGGCTGAGGCAGGAGAACCAATTAAGCCCAGGAGTTCAAAACCAAAACCAGCCTAGGCAATACAGCAAGGTTCTAACTTTTTTTTTTTTTTTTTTTTTTTTAAAGACAGTCTCACTGTCACCCAGGCTGGAGGGTAGTGAAAACTCACAGGTATTTGGTACTATGCCCAGCTTTTTTTTTTTTTTTTTTTAAGGTGTTGGTGTCACAGGCTCATGTGGGTAAGTCAGGAAGGAGCGGTTCTCTTAGTTTAATGTAGGAGCCACCAGTTGTCCTCCCCAACTCGGCTGATCCGTGAAGTCCTCTAGTCCTCCACAGGATGGCACTGTGCACTTCCTATCAGAAACTGACAGGTCACTCTCTTCCGTCCACCAGGCAAACTCTGAGACTAAGCACCGGGTAGGGTCATTCTTCTCATATCCCAGTGCCTGTCTCTCACAGACGATGTCTTGGAATGAAAAAAAACCATTTATTCCTGTTTTGAGGAACTGAAAAACGGTTTCTTCCTTTGTTTTCCTTTTGTTTCTCCAAATTGCATGAGACCCGATTCACAGCACACTTACGTTTCGATGTAGCTGGAAGGGGTGTGAGGGACACTGTCAAGTCGCTCCTGTAAAGCTGCCAAAACTCGAGGATTCTGCATCACCTGATCTGTGAGCTTTTCTATGAAGAGTTAAGACCAAACATATTTAAAATATGCCCACCACACACAATAGCCAAGAGTCAAAAATGAGTAACATATCTACTTAGCTTTGCCTAGATTTACATCTACTAATTTCTAAATACACATACCAGTGACTTCTAAAACACGTTTTGAAAATAATTAAAATTTATTTTAAGAGCATTTAACACTCTAGGTTAATCACCTGATGGGTAGTTACAAATTTACTGAAAAAATACCTAGAGAGTCCTGGTTCTCACCAGGACTGCGGCTGTTTAACCCCCAGGCTTAAACAACTGAGGACATCATTAATGGAAGTTCACATGGTCTACCCCCAAGTCCCAGTGTGGTGTCCAGAAGCCAAGAACAGAGATGAGATCAGTTTTTCAAAGTGAAAGAGCATCCACTAGTTCCCTCGCTCACTGTGGTGCCACAGCCTTCACAGTCCAGGAGAGCCCAAGGCTCACCAGCTCCCTGACGGCACTGTTCCCTAAGTTTTCTTTCCCTGACGGCACTGTTCCCTAAGTTTTCTTTGCCTGATGGCACTGTTCCCTAAGTTTTCTTTGCCTGACGGCACTGTTCCCTAAGTTTTCTTTGCCTGACGGCACTGTTCCCTAAGTTTTCTTTGCCTGACGGCACTGTTCCCTAAGTTTTCTTTGCATGTGCTTCTCGACTCTGCCTTGAATGTTCTTCTGCCTAAGCCCATCTCATTCCAGGAAGTACTTCTGACCATTCCACCCCACTTACTGCTAACCTACATGTGTAGTGAGCTCACAATCTCGAGATGTTTGTATTTAGAAGCCCATTTCCCAATAAACCAATGAATGAGATCCTGAGAGGGTAGTGACTGTCCTTCTACCCAGCTGTGTGACTAAGGAGTGGCAGGTATCTGGCTCATGACACAGACTCTTAACAATTTCCCTCTTAATGATACAATATAGAAACCCAAACCTAGCACCCTTCCCTTGCTTACAGCCAGTACATACCCAAGTATTCTCCCATCCCGAGTATTCTCCCATGATGTGGGTAAGTCAAACACACCAAGTAGGCACTCAATTTTAAACATTTATAACAGAACTGCAAACACAACCACTAACATGAAGCACGTGAAGTATATTTAAGGTACATAATTTGTATATATAAAATTGTATACACATGTATAGTATGTAAATACTACATGTATATACAAACACACATCAATGGGTGCTAAAACCACTGTGTGAAAAGTTTGCTGAAAAAGAAGAGGATATCTACACGTGCCTGACAGATTGCTTCCAAGGTGAAAGGACCTTGGTAACAGAGAAGTCTGGCAGGCATTGTCTTAATCAATCACAATGTCCCCGGACAGGTGCCGAGCCAACATACTGTGCCTCCGGAAGCAATGACCACTCATGTCACCTGTGTGCCCTTCTTGCCAAATGTTTACCCTGAATCTCATCAGGAAGAAACGACTGGGCAAATCCAGACTGTGAGCACTCTATAAGACCACAGTGGCCCAGAGCGCTGCTGTGTTGATGTATTAATAAAAGATACAAAAGGTAGGGAGATGACCCTAGAACAAAACAAAACGCATGATCTTTGGGTAGGTGCTAGATTTGGGGGTGGGGTAAAAATTGCTGAGAAAACCAGGGAAAACAGGAGCATGACTGTCTATTAGAGAATGGTATTGCTCCAATGCTAAGTTTCTTGGTAATGGCATTGTAGAATTGTTTTAGGAAAACAGATATCCACCACTTGCTTTCAAACAGTTTGGAGGGAGTAGGGAGTACAGATATATAGGGTGTTTTTTTTAATGGGGGAAAGATATCACATCTGCGAATTTATGAACAAAATAACATTCCTAGGATTTGCTTTCCAAAGCAAGGAAAGTTAAGGGTATAGATTTAAAAAAAAAAAAAAAAAGACAGGTGCAGTGGTCTGTGCCTGCAGCCCCAACTACTTGGGAGGCTGAGGCAGGAAAATTGCTTAAGCCCAGGAGTTCAAGAGCAGCCTGGGTAACACAACAAGGCTCCATCTCAAAAATAAGAAAAAAGACTGGTCATTTGTTAATCAATACTAAAGCTCAGTGATGGTAGGTACAAGAAGGTAGACTGTACTATTATTCTCTTTACTACTGTAGAGTCTGAATTCCTATAATAAATAAATCTTTTATTAATAAGATACTGATTTTTCATTTTAATTACTCTAGCTTTCCTAAAACCACTGAAGTACAGGAAGGAATCCTTTACTTGTATTAATGTTTCCAAGAGAGAGGAAGATTCCCCATACTGGATGCAAACTCTCCATGTGCAGTGAACTGACCTGTATTACTTGCATTTTTAGCAGCTTCCACGGAATCTGAAGGAACCCCATCTGAAAAACTAAAACAGCAGTACGTTTAAAAAGTATCATTGTCAAGAAAGCGCCAAAGAAGTAGCACAAATGGACATGTTTCTTATTCAATATATTAAGAGGTATCTCTACAGTGACGTCAGATTTGAGAAGACAACTACTAATGTGCATGTGTCATCTCAGAGGCTGTCCTCCCTGCTATAAAAATATTCTACTACTTAACACCCCCCTCGTCTCCCAAACATAAAGCCCTACAAAGTTCTTATTTCCAACCTTAGCCAAAGCTTCTTAGACAGCTTTCATTTCTACAGCTTCTTTCCTCAAAAAATCTGCTCCCAACCCTCAAACCAAACCCATCAACCAACGAACATGTTACTGTTTGGTCAGCAGCTCATGTGATCAGACAGAGTAAGGCGGTCTTACGAAGTTAAGACAGTGTCCAAAGTGGCTTTGTAAAATTAGCTACAACAAATGTAAAATAAGCCATGAAACAGTTTTCAAAGATGCCTGGACATACCTCCCTCATAAAAAATAAACATCAAACAATATACACAACTAAAAGTAACCCTCAATCCACAAAACAAAATCTCCCACTTGATCACTGACAACTACAGACCGTTAGGATAGTGTCAAAATTACCTGACTTCACCCCAGGGGTTTTGTTAAAGCATGGAGAGCAAAATGATTGCTTTCCATAAAAGATCTGTAAGTATCAACATCTGAGGCACTGTTCATGTCTGAAGTAATTTCTTTATGTGCTCAAATACATACACAAGAAAAGAGCCATCAGCTAGACTCTGAAATGCATTTAACTTTGATTCTAATATTTATTGAAATATGGCTTGGCTGTTGCTCACCAACTGAATTTTAAACTCCAATAAACAAAGTCCACTTTGGCTTACCTGTGATCTGCCATCTGAATGTTTTTATCCCCTATAAATTAAAAAGAGTTGTAATAATTATATTCATATAACAAAAATACTTGTTCAATATACTTTTTAAACAATGGTTGTCTATGGGATTGAGTCCACTAGAAGGGACAGGAGGGAACTTTCTAGAGTGATGAAAATGTTCTAGATCTTGACTGAGGTTACCTTGGTGTATACATTTGTTAAAGCTCATTAAACTGTACACTTCAGATCTGTGCATTTCATCACACACCTACTTTACTCATAAAAACATTTCTTGGCCGGGCGCGGTGGCTCAAGCCTGTAATCCCAGCACTTTGGGAGGCCGAGACGGGCAGATCACAAGGTCAGGAGATCGAAACCATCCTGGCTAACACGGTGAAACCCCGCCTCTACTAAAAAATACAAAAAATTAGCCGGGCATAGTGACAGGCACCTGTAGTCCCAGCTACACGGGAGGCTGAGGCAGGAGAATGGCGTGAACCTGGGAGGCGGAGCTTGCAGTGAGCTGAGATCCGGCCACTACACTCCAGCCTGGGCGACAGAGCGAGACTTCACCTCAAAAAAAAAAACAAAAAAAAACAAAAATAACCAAAAAAAATTTCTTGGCCTGTAATCCCAGTACTTTGGGAGGCCGTGGTGGGTGGATCATTTGAGGTCAGGAGTTCAAGACCCGCCTGACCAACATAGTGAAACCCCGTCTCTACTAAAACTACAAAATTAGCCAAGCATGGCGGCGCATGCCTGTAATCCCAGCTACTTGGGAGGCTGAGGCAGGAGAATCACTTGAACCCAGGAGGCGGAGGTTGCAGTGAGCCGAGATCGCGCCATTGCACTCCAGCCTGGGCGACAAGAGTGAAACTCCATCCAAAAAAAAAAAAAAAAGAAAACTCTCTTATTAGCACTAAAATAATCAGACTTCAGAATAATGTCAATTCTAATTTGCCTTATTTTTTATAATACATTTGGCAACACAAACATATATTAATGATAGCCCAATTATTTTAGAGTAATTCAAAGCATTTACTAGTGTTTACACTTTCAAGCTTATGGGATTATTTTCTAATTGCATTTATTCCATATCTTCCATTACTTCTACACTGAGGATGTACTGCTTGTGTAAAAACCTTGTGTAATATACTCAGTATTATCCCACTTTAAAAGATGATTATTTCTATATTGGTAGAATTAGATGACATTGTAGCTGAATATTAAGGGTGTGTTCTAGGGCATTTACTTCTTAAACAGAACTTGATATAAATAAAACTAAAAAAAATTTATCATTTTTTTTGAGACAGGATCTCAATCTGTCACCAAGGCTGCAGTGTAGTTATGCAATCCTGGCTCACTGCAGCCTCAACGTCCTGGGCTCAAGCAATCCTCCCATCTCAGTCTCCTGAGTAGCAGGGACAATAGGCACATGCCACCATGCCCAGCTAATTTTATTTTTTGTAGAGCTAGGGTCTGGCTAAGTTGCCCAGGCTGGTCTCAAACTCCTGGCCTCAACAGATCTTCCCACCTCAGCCTACCAAAGTGTTGGGATTACAACTGTGAGTCAACATGCCTGGCCTATACAATTTCAAAATCTAATCTAAATGCTTTTAAAGTAACAGCTAAATGCATAGCTTAAAAAGGTCCTTAAATGTAAAATAACCCAGTTGTGGTTATAAAGTTCCTTAAACTCAGATGTGGGAAATACACCTGAGGGCCTTGCTAAAGGATTGTTCCAGCAGAAAACTGGTCAATATTCATTCTTCAGTACCTGAGTGAAGCCCAAACCACAGAACCATGGTTGTTTAGGGTAAAACAAACCAAAAACAACAAAAAAACCCTCTATATTTAACAAAAACAGCTCTAATTATGATCTATGACTGTTCTGTATTAACTCAACTACTTTTTAAAATTTTTGTTTAGAAATAAAATGTGCTATTTTTAAGATTCAAAATACAACAAGTATTACACACTTTTTCAAAAAACTAAATTACATTTTAATGAAGAAGATGAAAACCAAGAAAAAAAAAAAGTGCAGCAGGCACAGTGGTTCATGCCTATAATCCCAGCACTTTGGGAGGCCAAGGTGGGCAGATTACCTGAAGCTCAGGAGTTTCAGACCAGCCTGGGCAATATGGGGAAACCCTGTTTCTACAAAAAAAGAAAAAAGAAAAAAAGAAAGGAAAACAAAACAAAACAAAATTAGCCAGGCATGGTGGTGTGAACCTGTAGTCCCAGCTACTCAGGGGGCTGAGGCAGGAGAATCGCTTGAGCACAGGAGGCAGAGGTTGCAGTGAGCTGAAATAACGTCACTGCACTCCTGCCTGGGAGACAGAGTGAGACTGTCTCAAAACAGAAACAGGGGAAAAAAAAAAAAAGAGGCCGGACATGGAAGTTGATGCCTCTGGTCCCAGCTACTTGAGAGGCTGAGACAGGAGCATCACTTCAGCCCAGGAGCTGGAGGCCTGGCAGCTGCAGTGAGCTATGATTGCACCACTGAACTCCAGCCTGGACAACAGAGAAAGACCCTGTCTCAAAAAAAAAAAAAAGGCACAACAAATCCTACAATGGCTGGCTATGCTCACCACCACGACTACAGCAGCAACCCAAACCCAGCTCTAGTCAGTGAAGATTCAAAAACCCTTTAATGGCGGCCAGGCACAGTGGCTCCCACCTGTAATCCCAGCACTTTGGGAGGCCAAGGCAGGCGAATCACCTGAGGTTGGGAGTTCCAGACCAGCCTGACCAACATGGAGAAACCCATCTCTACTAAAAATACAAAATTAGCCGGGCATGGTGGCACACGCCTGTAATCTCAGCTACTCAGGAGGCTGAGGCAGGAGAATCTCTTGAACCCGGGAGGCGGAGTTTACAGTAAGCCGAGATTGCGCCATTGCACTACAGCCTGGGCAACAAGAATGAAAACTCCGTCTCGAAGACAAAAAACAAAAACAAAAACAAAACAAAACACTAACAAAAAACACACTTCAGTGGTTCCCCCGTCACCTTTTGCAGAATACACATTCCTATCAATTCAGACCCTGTCTACTTCCCCATACTCATTTCCACTCACGCTCTTCTGCAGAACCTTCCTCTGTATCTCAGTATCATCATCCAAAAACTTCAGTGGCCACTTGAAAAGCTGTTAATGAAGATAAATTGCCTAGTACATAACAGCAGGCCAGGTCTCTTTTCACTTTTGTAACCGTCATGCATATAGACTCTATCTATTCCTTGATATGAAACCAACATACTGAGTTACTTTAAACACTGCACCCTTTTATACAGGTTGAGTATCTCTTATCTGAAATGCTTGGCACCAGAAGTGTTTCAGATTTTGGAATATTTGTACAAACATGATCAGGTATCTTGGGGATGGGACCCAAATCTAAACATGAAATTCATTCATGTTTCCTACACATCTTATTCACACAGACTGAAGGTTATTTTATACACCATTATTTTAAATAATTTTGTGCATGAAACAAAGTTTTAATAGTGACCCATCACATGAAGTCAGGTGTGTAATTTTCCACTTGTAACATCAATGTCAACACTAACAAAGTTTCAGAATTTGGAGCATTTGGACTTTTGATTTTGGGATCAGGAGTGCTCAACCTGTATAAGGAAAGACAACATAGAGTGGTGGTATTATAAACAAGCTAGAGTTCAGTCAAGTTTCAGCAACACAAATTATTTATTTTTGTTTAACAATCCCTATCACCCTTAAAACAGAAAGTTATAAGGAACTATCAAATATACAGGTGTGAGGAAAATAAATGTTTGTTTTAAATGTTGATATGTTCAGTTTAATATTAGTTTTATAAAACCAGAGCCCAAAGACTCATCCGGAACGTTCTCTCACTTTTAAAAGTCAATCCAGGGATCTATACAACCTGGTGACTATAGTTAACAATGTATCACATAATTGAAAAATTGCTGAGAGCAGATTTTTAAGTGTTCTTGTCAGAATCAGTGTATCACTTAATGTGAATTAATTTGACTTAGCCATTCCATAATGTATACTTCAAAACATCACATTATACATCATAAATATAATTTTTGTGTTAATAATTAAAAATAAATAAAAGACAATCAAATTAAATTATAACAGGGATACCAGGCAGAAGAATGCTGTAAGTTTTCTAAAGTTCAGATTCCCTCCCAAGATCAAAAACTTTAACTGTGTCTACAATTCTAAATCTGAACTGGCAAGCAAATTTTTATCTTTAATTGGGATGAGAAAAAAAAATGAATTCCCATGATTACACAAATGTTCTTTTATTTATATTAGACACTGTAACAATCCTCTTTATGGATTAACTTCCTTTTACCCCAAACAACTGTTTTCATATGAAATTTTAAAAGATTTTTGTAACAAAATATAACCTTACATTCCTAATTTTGAACTGAAAACATATACTCTACAGCTAGAGTAACTATAAAATTGGGCAGCACTTTGGGAGACCAAGGCGAGCGGATCACATGAAGTCGGGAGTTCGAGGCCAGCCTGGCCAACATGGTGAAACTCCATCTCCATTAAAAATACAAAAATTAAGGCCGGGCGCGGTGGCTCAAGCCTGTAATCCCAGCACTTTGGGAGGCCGAGACGGGCGGATCAC